GGAAATTTTTTGAAATTACTATGTTCCCCAACAAGTATGCCAAAGCACATGGGTACATATGGCCCCCTGGGAGGCATACTAATGGCGCACGACGGGCTATACTAATGGCGCACTGCATGGTGCGCCATTAGTACACCAGATACTAATGGCGCACCAGGGGTGCGCCATTAGTATTTAACTAGAAGAACGCCCGTGCGTTGCAACGGGGCCACATTAACTTTAAGAGTTCAATATTAATATTCTCATACATATCAATCCTTTTCCTCCTTCTGTCTGCCACCGAGACAGGGACCTAGACTTTGTGCTGCTCTTATTGATTTCAAACCCTGACGAGATGGGGTGGTGGGAGGGGGACGAAAAAACCCAGACGAAACAAAGGAGAAGGAGAGCCTCATTAGTAGCATCATGGTGGATTTCAAACCTAGCGTTGTGCTCCGCCCAACGAACATGGACGCCGCCGCCGGCGGCCCGGTGGAGCTCGAACCCGAGAGACTCTGCTGCTTGCTGGGAGGGGTCGGGGAGGGTCGGAGCACAGGAGCATTGACGTGAAGACAGAGTAGGCCGGGGAGATTACTGTGCACGCCGCACAGCGACTTGGACCTCGGAGGGCCTTAGCTCTGTCAGGAGGAGGTCCCGAGTTCCTGCCAAGGACAGCCTGATGGGGGAGACGCACGGCCGCTCGCGGTGCCCGCAACGCGACCACGCCCTGCCCTAGGGTTCTGCGACGGCGGCAGCGTCATCCACAACCACACCCTCCCTGAGTCCTGCCCTGAACTGGGGTTCCGAGATGGCGGCGGTGGCGGAGGTCTCTGAGGTTGGAGAGGGGCAAGATGTAGGACGGCGGAGGCTGGAGCCTGGAGCGATGGCGGCGTTTCGGGATTGCAGGCAGGGGGACGTGCGAGGTGAGTGTTTTTTTCACCGGTTTATGTTGTGTTGCCTGCACGGATATGTAGGAGAACAAATAGGTGGATTATAATTCCTTCCATTGTATCAGTGCTGGGAAAGGAAGCGAGGGACAAAAATCAATCGGGGGGCCTTTAAGAGTAGAGATTAGTTAATTGGATTTTTCTTTAAAGTCTGTTATTTGTTTCCTTAAAATTTATTATATGTTTTCTAAATCAAATTGCATCGATGGGATGGATCGATTGATTTGGATAGTCTATTATTTGTTTCCTTCACATCCATTATATGTTTCCTAAAGCAAATTGCATTGATGAGATGGATCGTTTGATTTGGATGGATCGATTGATTTGTTTCCTTAAAATTGGATTTTTCTTTAAAGTCTGTTATTTGTTTCCTTAAAATTTATTATATGTTTCCTAAATCAAATTGCATTGATGGGATGGATCGATTGATTTGGATAGTCTATTATTTGTTTCCTTCACATCCATTATATGTTTCCTAAAGCAAATTGCATTGATGAGATGGATTGTTTGATTTGGGTAATTTAGTAAAGTTAGATCTATGTCTTTTTGTACGGTAGGAAAGTGTTTGTTTAGAAGGAAATAGTGAAAAAATAAACCGATGGGGTGGTGGGAGGGGGACGAAAAAACCCAGACGAAAGTGGTAAGTGGTGGGAGGATGACGAAAATAAAACGGAGGTGGGAGGATGACGAAAAAAACCAGCAAAAAAAAAACCGCGCAGACTATTCACCAAGTCGTCCATTAGGAGTAGAGATTCTAATGGCGTGGTGCTAGTGGCGCACTAGTAGTGCGCCATTAGTAGGCAAAACTGGTGCGCCACTAACATGTCTTTTCCTAGTAGTGTCAGGGAAATCGTCTAGGTTGTCCAGCAACAAACTCATGTACAACTTGTACTGTACAAGCTATATACAAAACTTGAAAAGAATCAAACCTATATAAGAAGCAACATGCTTTGTAGTTTCCCAGCTGACATCACTCCCCAGCCGAGCACCAGCAAAACAGATCACAGACAAGCTATCTGCTACTCCCTCTGTAAACTAATATAAAAGCGTTTAGATCACTAAAGTAGTGATCTAAACGCTCTTATATTAGTTTACGGAGGGAGTAGCTTAGTGATCTAAACACTTTTATATTAGTTTACAGAGGGAGTAGCTAGCTAGGACTAATTAAAGTGCACGCATCAGCATACTGCTCACTCGTGATGAATTAGTAATTTCTCGCATTGCAAAGTGCCATAAACTAGTACTCACGTTGCATGCTTAAGACAGGCAGAAACCGTCCTCGTAAATACATCACACAAGCCAAATACAATTGAAAGTGCACACATAGGACCATTCATATATAGTACATGAGATAAATGAACAAAGAAGGAAATGGCATTCATTGTACACCATAGGAACTGTAAGATGAGCCAGCCTGAGGCACTCCACCTCATAATAGGCATGCCATTAATTTGAAGTAAACAAATGAAGGAAACTTTTAACTAATTGGAGTGTTTGAAAAGATAAAGAAATTAATTAAATGCATATATATTAGAAAACACAATATATCTTTGAGAATGCAACAGTGGCCGAGAGGAGCTAATTTACCTTTCAATCTGTTTGTAGGTGGGAATCCAAAAGAAACTTTATTCAGGTTTCGAAGTGCTTCAAGCTGAGATGGGTGATCTTTGGCCAACTTTCACCATCAGGTGCTAGGTAGCTCTCCTTCAACTGCTCACTACAACCATATACATATACATGTGTTGGAGGGAGGATGGCAGATCTGGTAAACATGATATGTTGGGGCAGCTATAGATTTCGAGACTCTTTAGATTGGAGAAGTATTTCATATTTGTTGGCAGGGAAGTCATTTGACAATTAGAGAAACCTAGCCTCTTGACAGATGTCAAATCTGCGGATTCTTCGAATGAAACGAATGGTTCCTTAAAATTTTCAAGAGAGAGATGTGGTGGAACTGTGAAACCTTCAGCCGAGAGCATGTAGTTGAGCATTAAAGGACTGCTAACCTGGAGAAAGTCCTGGACTCGAAACTCTGAGATACACTTGGGGGTGAGTTTCGGAACATCAACCAATTCTACCCTGTGAAGTTCCATGGAAGACAATCCTTCGAGCATACATAAATCTGGTAACTGATTCAGTGACAATGATATAACAGAGGTGAGACTACCAACAGACAAGCATGCAGTGCTTCTGCAATTCCCTATGTGAATATCTTTCATGTGTGGCCAGTCAGTACAGAGGAAGTCAGCTGCAAGCACACAAGAGCCTCTGAAGGGACAATGGCAAACATTCTGCTCCAAATGCCAACTCTAAAAAAGGGCAGGAGTTCAATCCAACTTGTGAAAGAGAGGTAGCAGCTCGTAAGCCCCGTAATGACCTGAGACACCAGCAACATCCGATGAACAAGAAGTCAAGTTCTGTCAAATGTTGGAGCACCTCTTCTGAAGGAAGTGTAGTTAAAGACATAATCTCTTTTAAGACCAATTTTTTTCAATGAAGCCAGGCCATCAAGGCAAATAGTAAAGCTCCATCTGTAATACTGCATGAAGAAAGAGAAAGTTCACGAAGTCCTGAGGGTGTGAGCAGCGGCAGCCCATTTCTCCTTTCAAACATGAGTCTCATCCTATGCTCGTGACAGTATATCCATGCCTTTATGATACCCTCTTATCCCAATGCTTCATCTTTCTCTCTTTCTATTGCACTTTCAAGGTTTTGAATATGTGACAAATCAGCATGCATATGTATCATCAGCTGCTTCAGAAATGTATGTTCACGTGAGAGTATACACCTAATATTCGATCCTGAATCCAACTCCCAGATTAAACCAAGTTGTGATGCCAAGTGGTCAGTGCTCATGATATTCTGTCTCTAGTCATGATGGTAAGCTCATCGTTGGAAATAAATATAAGCAGTAGGCAATTTTCTACATTTAACACTTTAAGGCCTAGTGGAAGACAAGGTAATGTCATCAGGTTTGGCACATTGTGGATGATGAGTGAAGAGCAATTCCCAAATAGCTCAGTATTGGATGGTAGACTTTGTAATGCAGTGCAATTAACAAAGCTTAAAGATCCCATATTCTCAAAATATGAACCATCAAGTAACCAGCTTGGATATTTTGAAGATTTGTAGCCATCAATTGTAAGATCGCTAAGTTGAGGCGGTGGCATCAGGCCTTCTAGAATCTCCAAATATAAATTATCCTCTGCATTAGTGTCATTCTTGCAACTCCACACAACTTGCAAGCTGCCAAGATGAATTTTCTGATGCAGTTTCGATTTTGAGGCTTGATCTTTCCCAGTGACATTCTCAAGATTTGTGACACTTAAACTGCCACGAATCTCATTCATGTCTCTCGTTGCAACTCATATCCCCTTTTTTTGGACAGAAAATTTCTCAACCTTTCAAACCGAAGTTAGCTTTTCAATGTAAGGAATTTGAGGGCGTGCATCTTTGTCGAACCTGTATACTATATCCTGACGCCATTCAAGATGCCGTAACTTCCTTAAATTGCATACTTTCTCAGGCAAATTCTCAACCTGGTCACTTAGTAGAAGTAACTGAAAGTGGTAAAGAGTACACAGTGACCTTGGCAATTCAGAAATCAGTGTTCTGATGATGTTCAAATACCGAAGGTGCTTCAACTCACTAATAGATTCTGGAAACTTACTACTTTGTAAGATGACAAAGATAGTACCCGCAACTTCTTCAAATTTTGTAGTATCTGATTAAAAAGATCACTTATATCATCCATTAGGGGGTCTATGCAGATAATAGTGCGTAAATGATGTAGCTGGCAGATATTTTGCTTGTGTTTTTGCATACTACCAACACGAATAGATAGGAATCTGATAGTGGATGGTATTTCTGTCACCTTCTCATCTTCCAATCTGAAGTAATCTTCTTTAGAGAGTGATTCTGCCAGCTCATGCAGGAGATCATGCATAACATGGTATTTTGGAGTGTCTTTCCCAGAAACTGGTTGAAAAAGCGAACCGGAGATCATATCATTGAAGCAATCCCTCTCAATATCTTCCACTCTCTTGTTTTGGTCACACAAATCAACACGGCCCTCTACCATCCAAAGATGAACCAACTCATCATGACATACTTGTGGCCTTTTGGAAACAAGCTGCAATATAGGAAGCACCTCTGCAAACATGGATCTAACTTCTTATAACTCCACAACAGAGCTCTCATGGGCTCACTTAATTTGTCAATCTTCATATTTAGAGAATCCTTCCAAGCAGTGATATTTGTTTTCCCTTTCAACTGGGAACCCACAACTTTTGCCGCCAAAGAAGATTGCCCAAGCCTTTTAGCAATCTTCTCTGCATAATTTTCGAGCCTTTCACGCAGCTGCAGATCTCTGATTTCTTGTCCAGAGAATGCGTGGTGTTTGAAGAGTGCCAAGAACTGAGCATCTTCCATGTTTTCTGGGGGACACACTTCTTCACAGCAAAGAGCGGTTGGAAATGTATCCCGTCTAGAAGTTACCAAAACTCTGCTTCCCATATGTTGGGAAACTAGAGGAGCTAACAGTTGGTCCCACTCCCTTACAGTACCAGGTTCAAACCAAACATCGTCCAGTACATGCAGGAATTCCTTTGATTCTTGAAGTATGTCTGCCAACTTGCGTTGTGGAGTATCAAGGTTATCAATGCGTGGACATTCCCCCTGAGAGGCAGACTCAATGATCTCTCGTTTATGACGGCGGACATCAAGTTTGTGTGAGATGCTTACCCACATTCTCACATCAAAACATTCCTTTACCCTCTTGTCATTGTAAACAAGTTGTGCTGAGGTGGACTTCCCCATGCCTCCAGCTCCAACAATGGCCAAACCCGAGTACATAGTTGTACTAGACTCATTAGTAGCAGCTGTCTTGGTAAAACGATCTATTATATGATTACAATCCTTGTCACGACCAATCACTTTCAGAGGTGGTAGTGATGTGGCCTCAGGAACGACAACTGATGGTATGGTGGGGCTCTCTGCATTATAGCCGGTTCGTAAGCAGAGGAGTTCACGGAAGTCCTTGGCTTTCGCCAGGGTATAGCCTTCAGTTCATTGAGGTGGCGAAGTAGCTTCCTGTTCTTAGAGCTCAAATTGGACAGCCTGCTTGATGCAGCACATAGAGGCTTCATAAAAGTGCTAGTGATGGAGGATGGATTGGCCAACAAGGAATCCTTCCCCTTTGCTTTGCGCTTGAGGAGTTTGTACTCATGCTCGTCCAACAATTCTTCAGCCATGTAGAAGCCTTCTTTGAGTTCTTCAAGCCACTTGTTCAACTTGGGCATGTGGCTTCCCTTGTCTACTTCTTCAATCAACAGCTCGAACTGCTGCAAGATAGTGGTCTCCAGTTCATGGAGCTCACGCGGCATGTCCACTCCAAGGTACGTTGAAGCATTAGCAAGGAGTTTCTTCAATACTGGCGATGCGGCTAATTTTAAGCTAACGCTTAAGGCAGTGGTAGCCGACGCCACTTCCATCGGATTGCAGTAATTTTTTTTGTGTATATGTTGAGGGATGAGAGCTGTGTTTTGTGGATGCTTAGGCACAGTGATGGATGAAAACCCTGTTGAAGTGGGAAATGATTAGATAAATTAGTCAACTGCAATGGTGATAAGAAAAAAGACAATGGTAAAGAGTGAGAATACTATATTCAGAGTGAGGAATGACCTGAATAAAATGATAAACGATCAACGAAAGTGCTTATGGATCCGAGGTAGAAACAACTAGTGAATATAGCAATGGTTGAAAAAACTATTGGATCGGGAAAAAGGAGATAGATTAGCCGGCTGCAACAACAAAGATAATACAGAGCCATATTTGTAGAAGAAAAACAGAGTAGAATAGTGGTGAGCTTCCACAAATGAAGAAATGAGAATTACCGTCATGTAACACCCCCAGTGTCACCATGCTTTACTAAGCTAATTGTCACTTGATTAAAAGTCAAGTCAAAATTCAAATTCAAATATCAAGTCAAATTATTTTTGTTCAATCAATAAAACAAAAACGTGGGTTAGGTTGCAAATATTCACTAAGGGATTATCATGTTGAAACCAACATCATTTGGCTCACATATAATTCCTAGGAGATTTATAAATGGTCCAAAGATAACCCACAAGTATAGGGGATCAATTGTAGCCTCTTTCGATAAGTAAGAGTGTCGAACCCAGCGAGGAGCTAAAGGTAGAACAAATATTCCTTCAAGTTCTATCGACCACCGATACAAACTCTACGCACGCTTGACATTCGCTTTACCTAGAACAAGTATAAAACTAGAAGTACTTTGTAGGTGTAACGGGATAGGTTTGCAAGAATATAAAGAGCACGTAAATAAAAACTAGGGGCTGTTTAGGTGAAGAAGCAAATAAGTTAGTATAGTGAGTGTGGAAAAGTGGTGGTAAGAGTTGCGAAATTTTCCCTCAGCAATTGACTACTTTACTAGACCGATAGCAAGTTTTATGTGGGAGAGGCCACTGCTAGCATGGCATCCCTGACTTGGACTTCTATGCACTTATGATTGGAATTATTAGCAAGCATACGCAACTACTAACGTTCATTAAGGTAAAACCCAACCATAGCATTAAGATATATTGGTCCCCCTTCAATCCCGTATGCATCAATTTCTATGCTAGGTTGAAGCTTCTGTCACTCTTGCCCTCCAATACATAGTCCTATCAACATACAACTAACCCTATGGTGTGATCCACGCACGCGCTCATATGATGGGCACCAAAGGACATCAACATAACCACAAGCAAATTAAACCAATCATAGCAATTCAGCAATTACCGATAGGACAACGAAAATCTACTCAGACATCATAGGATGGCAACACATCATTGGATAATAATATGAAGCATAAAGCACCATGTTCAAGTAGAGGGTACAGCGGGTTGCGGGAGAGTCGACCGCTGTAAATAGATGGGGGAAGGTGATGAAGATGTTGGTGATGATGATTGCGGTGATGACGGAGGTGTTGGTGTAGATTGTGGTGATGATGATGGCCCCGGCGGCGTTCCGGCGCCACCGGGAGAGAGAGGGAGAGAGCCCCCCTTCTTCTTCTTCTTCCTTGACCTTCTCCCTAGATGGGAGAAGGGTTTCCCCTTTGGTACTTGGCCTCCATGGCATGGGAGGGGCGAGAGCCCCTCCGAGATTGGATCTGTCTTTCTGTCTCTCTCGGTTTTTGCATTCCAGATTCTGGCCTTTCACCGTTTCTTATATTCCCGGAGATCCGTAACTCTGATCGGGCTGAAATTTGAACACGATTTTTATCCAGATATTTCCTTTATTTCGGTGAAAGAAGGGCACCAACTGCCTTACAGGGTGTCCACGAGGGTCAGGGGCGTGCCCCCCTGCCTCGTGACCCCCTCGGGCATCGTCTCGCGTTGATTCTTCTTCCCAAAATCACATATATTCCAAAAAAATCTCCGTCAGTTTTTATACCGTTTGAACTCCGTTTGATATGGATTTTCTGCGAAACAAAAAACATGCAACAAACAGGAACTGGCACTGGGCACTGGATCAATATGTTAGTCCAAAAAATAGTATAAAAAGTTGCCAAAAGTATATGAAAGTTGTATAATATTGGCATGGAACAATCAAAATTATAGATACGACGAAGACGTATCAGCATCCCCAAGTTTAATTCCTGCTCGTCCTCGAATAGGTAAATGATAAAAAATAATTTTTGATGTGGAATGCTACCTAGCATAATCTTCATCATGTAAGCTAATCATGGCATGAATATTAAGACATGAGTGATTCAAAGCAATAGTCTATCATTTGACATTAAGACAATAATACTTCAAGCATACTAATAAAGTAATCATGTCTTTTCAAAATAACATAGCCAAAGAAAGTTATCCCTACAAAATCATATGGTCTGGCTATGCTCCATCTTCACCACACAAAATATTCAAATCATGCACAATCCCGATGACAAGCCAAGCAATTGTTTCATACTTTTGACGTTCTCAAACCTTTTCAACTTTCACACAATACATGAGCGTGAGCCATGGATATAGCACTGTAGGTGTAATAGAATATGATGATGGAGGTTGTGTGGAGAAGACAAAAAAGGAAGAAAGTCTCACATCGACGCGGCTAATCAACGGGCTATGGAGATGCCCATCAATTGATGTCAATGCGAGGAGTAGGGATTGCCATGCAACGGATGCACTAGAGCTGTAAGTGTATGAAAGCTCAAACTAAAACTAAGTGGGTGTGTATCCAACTTGCTTGCTCATGAAGACCTAGGGCATTTGAGGAAGCCCACCGTTGGAATATACAAGCCAAGTTCTATAATGAAAATTCCCACTAGTATATGAAAGTGATAACTCAAGAGACTCTCTATATGAAGAACATGGCGCTACTCTGAAGCACAGGTGTGGTAAAAGGATAGTAACATTGTCCCTTCTCTCTTTTCTCTCATTTTTTTTTATTTTTTTCTCTCTTTTTTAGGCTTCTTTGGCCTCTCTCTTTTTTTTGGGGGGGGGGGCTTCTTTGGCCACTTCTATTTTGATAACCTCACATGGGACAATGTTCTAATAATGATGATCATCACACTTTTATTTACTTACAACTCAATATTACAACTCGATACCTAGAATAAAGTATGACTCTATATGGATGCCTCGGCGGTGTACCGGGATGTGCAATGATCTAGCGTAGCAATGACATCAAAAAACAGACAAGCCATGAAAACATCATGCTAGCTATCTTACGATCATGCAAAGCAATATGACAATAAATGCTCAGGTCATGTATATGATGATGATGATGGAAGTTGCATGGCAATATATTTCGGAATGCTATGAAAATGCCATGATAGGTAGGTATGGTGGCTGTTTTGAGGAAGATATAAGGAGGCTTATGTGTGATAGAGCGTATCGTATCACGGGGTTTGGATGCACCGGCGAAGTTTGCACCAACTCTCGAGGTGAGAAAGGGCAATGCACGATACCGAAGAGGCTAGCAATGATGGAAGGGTGAGAGTGCGTATAATCCATGGACTCAACATTAGTCATAAAGAACTCACATACTTATTGCGAAAATCTATTAGTCATTGAAACAAAGTACTATGCGCATGCTCCTAGGGGGGTAGATTGGTAGGAAAAGACTATCGCTCGTCCCCGACCGCCACTCATAAGGAAGACAATCAATAAATACCTCATACTCCAACTTCGTTACATAACGGTTCACCATACGTGCATGCTACGGGAATCACAAACTTCAACACAAGTATTTCTACAATCCACAACTACCCACTAGCATGACTCTATATCACCATCTTTATATCGCAAAACTATTGTAAGGACTCAAATATATCATATTCAATGATCTACAAGTTTTATGTAGAATGTTATGACTAACCATGTGAATGACCAATTCCTGTCATCTCTCTAAATAGATACAAGTGAAGCAAGAGAGTTTAATTCTTTCTACAAAAGATATGCCCACGCTCTAACAAATATAAGTGAAGCAAAAGAGCATTCTACAAATGGTGGTTTTCTATGTGAAGAGAAACAGGCAATCCAAACTTCAAATGATATAAGTGAAGCACATGAAGCATTCTATAAAGCCATACTCAAAAGATATAAGTGAAGTGCAAAGAGCATTCTATAAATCAACCATTACTACTAGGAAAAACCTTATACACAGAATCTTAGCAGCAGCGCGGTTTAAAAACAAACGCTACTGCTAATTAGTAGTAGCGAGCTTGAGGAAACCACGCTACTAATAACCCGATAATAGTAGCGCGGGTTTTTACCCCTCGTTACTACTAAGTAATTTCCACCGTGCCTCCCGGAACCAGCCGTAGTAGTAGTGTGGGTTTATAAACC